CAGCACCGCAGAGAGAGGTGCTGCAGCCTCAGAACCCATTTTTGCCTCTCACATATGTGGAAGACGGGAAGTCCCAACATGTTTCTGAACCTTTGATGGGCAATGTGGTGCATCCTGCCCCGTATTCATTGCATTTACCAGCCATGGTTAATGATGCTAATTATCAATACAGTTTCCCTGATTTAGGGGGAACGCAATTCCCAAACCCATTTTTATCATCGTCAGAGATATCTGATGACAGGTCTGGACATAATCACTGTGCTTTAGAGGGAGAAAAAGTTCAGTCTAGTACAAATCCATTCACGGTACCACATAGTGAATGTACAACTTTTAGACATGAGCCTGAATCTTCTGATGGAGCAATTATCCTACCTCTGCAGCAGTTAACACCGGAAACAGATTTAGAGTCTAAGGTACTTGAACATTCATTGAAAAATTCAGAATGGGAACACGGAAAACCCCCTCCCACATCTGTGACAGCACCAACAATGGTAGATGAGCAGCCTCAGCATAGTTTGACAACATCAGAGGGAGAAACGACTTGGTCTTCAAATAATTCTGCTGCAATGTCTGACTATGAAGTTGGAAGGTCCAATGGAATTCCAGTTAGTAAGCTCCCTCGTCCAAGAAATCCCCTGATTGATGCTGTTACTGCTCATGGCCAAAGCAAGGTAAATGATTATCATTTTATGGTGTCTATCTTTCAGAATATGCTCTACAACATACCTTTGTAACATGTTGACATTTTGCAGTTGAGAAAGGTAACTGAACGAATTCGGCCTCAGGTTGAACCTAAGGTAGATGAAAGAGATTCATTGTTGCAACAGATAAGAACTAAGGTTAGAGCTGCCTATTTTTGTTGTATTTTTTGCTTTTGCATCACCCACCTTTTCCTGGTCTGGGTTCTATCTATTTTCATGTAGGAAATTATTGAGTGAATATTTTCTTGCCTTAGTCCTTCAACTTGAAGCCTGCATCCGTGACAAGACAAACAGTGACAAGACCCAGCGTTCAGGGTCCGACAACCAACTTGAGGGTTGCTGCCATCTTAGAGAAAGCAAATGCAATTCGCCAGGTCTCTATCTATTTATCTCTCTCTCTCTCTCTCTCTCTCTCTCTCTCTCTCTCTCTCTCTCTCAATATTTCCTTGTCAGTTAATAAATTTAATACCATGAGAATTTTGTTACAGGCATTGACAGGAAGCGATGAAGATGATGACGATAGTTGGAGTGATTCTTAAAAGGAATTATTCTACTATAGCCCTTCACCAGTGCCGTTAATGGCTTTGAGTGGTGGTGGATGCTCTTTCTTACAGAAATCTGGAATTTTCTGTAGTTTGGTGTATTCTCCTCTTTACTCAAGATTCATGTGTATTATACGACCCCCTTTCTCTTTTTCTCTCTCCTCCCCCCAATGAAAATCTATTTGTTGAAATGTCGCTCAGCTCTATCGACGGAAATCTAGTGTGAGGCAAATGCTTTATACAAGAATGACAGCCGTGGCGCAGCGTGCAAGCGCAGTTCCAATCTACTTCCGCTTATAATCATTTTTAAGATATTGGCAGGTGTAAATTGTTGGAGTGATATAAATGTAGTATGTAGTGAAATTTTGTAATCCTGTATGTAATGGTTCTTACAATGCATATATATATATATGTATCCATATACTCCATTTTCTGGCTCATATTTCAGTGGCCATTGTTTTTCTGTTCATATGGTTTTGTCGACGTGCGGAACTTCTGCAAGAGTACAAATATTTAGATTCAGTGTTTTTTATTCTTCCATGGCCTCGCATTTTACCTATCCTTTCAAATGTTCTTCTGCAATTTAAAATTCAGGAGAAATATAGCGAAAAAGATATTTTAGATTGATGCTGCTGTCACCGTTATTTTTCTACCCCTCAGTTTTCCCTATAAGAAAATTTAAGTCAGTCAATAAAAAGAAATACTCGTAACCTAAAAAATTATCCCAAAAGAAAAAGTACCATGTTAATTAAAAAAATTTAATTTTTGTTTTAAAATTTTAATTATTTTTAAAGTAATTTTACAGAGACTTTTGGATTTGTAATATAATAATAAGATATTACTGGTGGGAAAATAAGAGCATATTTAACACGGCCGCCATTAGCATAACAGCAGCACGACCGTAGAGTCGTTGCTCTCCAAACTTTGCTCCAAAGTTGAAACCTGGTTATGACAGTCTTGCCCAACAGAGCCTCCCCTGTACTTTCCAAAGCTTTGGAGACCAAGCAATGCCTTCTTCAAGGTTTCAACTCCTTCAAGCACCTCAAGCATGCCCACGCTCGGCTTCTCCGCCTTGGTCTCGACCAAGACAACTATCTTCTCAACATGGTCTTGCGCTCCGGGTTCGATTTTGGGCACGCCAGCTACTCTCGCCTCGTCTTCCGCCAAACGACGCAACCCAATATATTTCTTTGGAACACCATGATTCGTGGCCTGGTTTCCGAGGACTGCTTCGACGATGCTATCGAATTCTTTAGTTCTATGCGAATAGGGGGGTTCTTGCCCAATAGCTTCACCTTCCCTTTTGTTTTGAAAGCTTGTGCTAGGCGTTCGGATTTTCAATTGGGTTTAAACATTCATACCCTTGTGGTGAAAACGGGGTTCGATTTTGATGTTTATGTTAAAACTAGTTTGCTGTGCTTGTATGCAAAGTGCGGCTATTTGGAACATGCCCATAAGGTTTTCGATGATATTCCCGACAAGAATGTGGTTTCTTGGACTGCCATCATTTGTGGGTACATTGGAGCTGGTCAGTTTAGAGAAGCTATTGATACGTTTCGCAGGTTGCTGGAGATGGGTTTGAGGCCTGATAGTTTTAGCCTTGTTCGGGTTTTATCCGCATGCGGCAAGTTAGGGGATTTAAGCAGTGGGGAGTGGATAGATAGATACATAACTGAGATTAGCATGGGAAAGAATGTATTTGTGGCCACCTCTTTAGTTGATTTGTATGCCAAGTGTGGACAAATGGAGAAGGCGCGGGTTGTCTTCGATGGAATGCTTGAGAAGGATATAGTATCTTGGAGTAGTATGATTCAGGGATATGCATCAAATGGACTTCCAAAAGAAGCAATAGACCTCTTCTTTCAAATGCAAAAGGAAAATTTAAAACCTGATTGTTATGCCATGGTTGGGGTGCTTTCTGCCTGTGCAAGATTAGGAGCCCTGGAGCTAGGGGAGTGGGCTAGCAATTTGATGGATAGACATGAATTTTTTGTGAACCCTGTTCTTGGTACAGCTCTGATTGACATGTATGCCAAATGTGGGAGTATGGTTCAAGCTTGGGAAGTCTTTAAAGGGATGAAGAAAAGAGACCATGTGGTTTGGAATGCTGCAATGTCTGGGCTTGCCATGAATGGACATGTCAAAACTGTGTTCGGACTCTTCGGTCAAGTTGAGAAAAATGGAATTCGACCTGATGGGAACACATTCATGGGGCTGCTTTGTGGGTGTTCTCATGCTGGTCTCGTTGACGAGGGTCGTAGGTATTTCAACAACATGACTAGTGTCTTTTCTTTGGCTCATACAATTGAGCATTATGGATGCATGGTGGATCTTCTTGGTCGTGCTGGCTTGTTGGATGAAGCTTATAACTTAATCAAAACTATGCCGATGAAGGCTAATTCAGTTGTTTGGGGAGCGTTGTTGGGTGGATGCAGGCTACACCGGCAAACGCAATTGGCTGAACTCGTACTGAAACAACTCATTGAGCTAGAACCATGGAACTCAGCACACTATGTTCTCCTATCAAATATTTACTCTGCAAGCCATAAATGGGATGAGGCAGCATACACTAGGTCAAGAATGAATGAGCAAGGGATGAAGAAAATCCCCGGTTGCAGTTGGATCGAAGTAAACGGGGTTGTTCACGAATTCCTTGTCGGAGACAAGTCCCACGCATTGTCACAGAAGATATACGCAAAGTTTGACGAGTTGGCTAAGGAACTGAAAGCAGCAGGTTATGTTCCAACCACAGAGTTTGTGTTGTTTGACATAGAAGAGGAGGAGAAGGAGCACTTCCTTGGTTATCACAGTGAGAAGCTGGCCATTGCATTTGGTCTCATAAGCACTGGTCCAAGAGATACAATTCGAGTTGTGAAGAACCTTCGTGTATGTGGCGATTGCCATGAGGCCATCAAGCTCATATCAAAGATTACAGAGAGACAGATCATTGTCCGGGATAACAACAGATTTCATTGTTTCATTGATGGTTCTTGTTCATGTAAAGATTATTGGTGAAGTTTGATTAAAAAACCCAATTTTGATACCAGCCCCTTGGTGCCAATAATCTAACATGTTTACTTGTATGCTTAACCAGTGTGAAGTGCCGTCCTAATTTAACCCACGTATGCTATTAATCAGAGGTTAAATCAAACTCAAAATCCGATATTTGAGTTGCTAATGACAAAACTTAAACTAGAAAAAGACTGAACATTTCAATGTCGTAGGCGTAAGCTCATCACACACGTCGTGTAAGTTGACAGCTGAGGGGCCACACACGACAATGGAAACGCTGCTATTAGCACAGCGAATTTTTTTTTTTTTTTTGTCTGCATCAGGAGATAGTCCTGGATGGGCCCCAACTATGGGTGGCACCTTTAAGCCTTAACCACAACCCAGACTAATCCCCACTCACACCGGGTCGGCCCGTAAGGGGTAAAGTGTTGGCCAAAGTGGTGACTCCGTACGAGAGCAGGGATCGAACCCCTGACCTCTCTTAAAGAATGAGTGTGCCAAACCACTCACACCAACCACCTTGGTTGCACAGCGATTTCTTATTAGTGACTGATGAATGATGGTGATAAGATCAAAATCAAATAGCGCCAGAAACCACCACATCTATATAATAAAGACCTCACCCAAAGGAAAAGTCTTTGAAAACAAAACAAAGACCACTCCAAGTCAGCCAGAAACGACGTCGGTCTACTAAGACAAGGCAACGATATAATCGGATGTCATTTTCTCTCTCCTCTTCTGGCTTAACACACACGCTCGCGCAGTCACGAATGGTTGTGTCTTCTGAAAGCTGGCTTGCAATTTCCGCTCCACTTTCTTTAAACAGTTTTTCTCAGTAACCAAACAGAGATAACATGCTATATAGATAATATTCACTATTATCTATTCACTGTATCAAAAAAAATTAAGGTAAGCAAATTCAAAAACCCAAAAGCCCTAAACTTTTCCAATATTTATTAGTTACAAATTACAAGTTCTCTTTGTTTGCAATATTTATATGGGAAAGTCGCTTCCCTCGACGGCCAGGCTGTACCAAGTCGCCAAAACGACGTCGCAGAGTCTCATAACTCCAAAGCATACGAGGTCCGCATCGCCGAACCCAGAAATAGGCCAAAAGTCGAAGCGGCCGCGGTTGAAGGAGATGGAGACTGAGAGCAGCTCAAAGAAGGAGACCAACCATCGTCTGCCGCTCTCGGAGGTCGTATCGGATTGCATAAAGCGGTGGTTTAAAGACACGCTTAAAGAGGCCAAAGCCGGCGATATTAACATGCAGGTCTTGGTGGGTCAGATGTATTATAACGGTTATGGTGTTCCCAGAGATGCCCATATGGTATGCTTTATTGGGTTTGTTTTAATTTCTCGGGTTTTGTTGGTTTCTCGGTGGGGTTTGGGGTTTAGGCTTAAAGTTATGAGCTTTTTGTTTTCTGATCTTGCTTTCATGCTCTTATCAAAATTAGATTAGACAGAGTTGTAAGCGTTTTGTTTTAATCTTGTTATGCTAAAGTTGCAAGCTTGTGTTTGGTATCATCTTGACCATATAGTTTTTGTTGGCCAAGTAAGCACCAAGGGCATTACAAATTGGAGTTTGAAAATTTAGAATATGGATTACAATAAGTATATGGTTGTTTTACAAAAGTTTAGAATATTGATTGCAAATTGGACTTGTCTCCCATAATTAAAGCTTTAGTTGTGATTGTATTGTGATTTGTACTTCTACTAATAATTTTTGGACTTTGTGAATGCAGGGAAGAATTTGGATCACAAGAGCGTCAAGGACGCGATCTTCAGTTTGGAAAGTTAGTGATAAGCAGCCAGGTTGACTTCTCTCTTTGCATTTACCATTGTCTCAATCATCGTTTCCATTATTGAATGTGCCTCTGTTTGGTCTTCTGCACCTGTGGCAGGTTATAATGCAAGTGATTCAGATTCAGATGAATTGAAGGGTGATTCTTAGCTGGACCATGTCCGCCTTCATGTCCAATTAAAGTTTGAGCTGGTATATTCTTGGCCTTCTTGTACTTGTTTTGCTTCATCCTGCAAATTGAATAATATACCATCCAGTAAGAGCTAACAATGAGTATGTGATCCAGCATGTCAAAAATTTCAAAATTTTTATAAATCCTATGAACTCTGAAGATGCTGGATTTGTTTCCTTCAACTGGGTCTGCACTTTCTATGCTTTCTTTGCCTTCGTTTGTTTGGAAAACTCCATTTTATGTGTATGTGCATAATTGATCTTACTTGATAGTTAGTATTTTAATTTTGATCGGCACACCATATTCATTGTTGTTTTTCTGCATTATTACTGTTGACACATACAGAATATTGTTTGTTATCCTAGACTTTCAAGCATAGAATTTGCCTCTTCTTTCTCAAGTCTTTTGGGAGTGGAAATAATAAACATATATGATAGAGGGGGAGGATTGATGTCTGCTGTTTTATTGGACGTAGCTTTGTTTTTCCTTCCTCCATACTTCCCTCCTCTTCTAGCCATCAAGAGGAGGGAGAATCACATATTTCCTTCCCTTTATCCTTCATGATTTACCCTTGACTTCCTTCTACTCTTCCATCTTCCCGAATTTCTCTTCAACCACTCACAGGAGGAGTGCCAGATGACATAATATGAGTGATGAAATAGCAGTGCCCTTTCAAAATCCCTTATTGTCGACTTAATATTGATAATGAGTTTATGTTGGCTAGGCTTTTCATTTATTTGCCTCTGGTAAAAATTGTTTGATTTAATCTGTTCAAATTGAATTCTGAAGAAGAGAGAAGTTCAAACTATGCAGTAAGAATGACCTTTCAAGCTCTGTATGCTAAATGCGTGTATGTGTGTGTGTGTGGATTGATGTGTGTGTTAGCTGTCTCACAGAAGATTTGCAATAATCTTTGGTTCTGCCTGTTTACTGATAGATAGTTTAGCATCATGTTTGTATCGGCCTAAAAAACTTGAAATTGATTCAGCACTGTCATCCTTCTTTACCCCTCCACTTATGGCTGTTCATTGATGATCCTCATGAGACTGGGTACATGAAATCGCATAGGAACCATTCCTATGGTGCATGTGCTGGCCGCCAACGAGTGGCAACAAAGGCCTAGAATGATAAATGAATTTCATTTCAACTCAAGACATAACTGTAGTGCTTTGCCAAATAATGTATGGCAAGAAGTAATGCTCTCTTTCTTCAACTTAGCTTATTCGGATAACTTGATCTAATGTCGTGCTTATCGTGGCAGGATGTGCTTGGAAACGTGCCCGACCTCAGTCATTGATGTGCCTGTATCAAGTCTTTATACTTTCTTCTGTTTCCTTGTCGTAATTTTTTTTTTTTGGACCTATCAATGTACCTAAACCTTTATTTTCATGGTAAAACAAGTATTTGTTAATTGCACTTTCATCTCCCAAAGTTCCTTTGGGTTATTGTGAAGAATTGCCAACATGATACTTACATTAAGGGCTCGTTTGGTACTTCGGATTATACTGATTAATTTCTGTCGGATAATATAAATCTGTTTCGGAGAGGACCGACTGTTTATCCATAAAATTATAAGGCGTTTGGTGATGTTCTTGATAAATAGTTTGATTAAGTTATACTGTGTTTGATGCTCTGTCAAATTATTATTTTTATAATTTTTTGGCAAGATTCGTATGACCTTTGTTTTTTTCCTTTTGTTTTTGCCAAGATCTATAAGAAAAGATTACATGAACTAACCCATTATCATAATTGTAGAAATTAGGATTATAAGTTACATATTATATAAGCACACCTTAAAAAAAAATCACATCTTGATATAAAAAACTTCTTTTCTTGATATATATATATATATCACATACAAGACATGAAGCATGTCGAACATCATCAATATTTTCTCTCGCGTTCTTATGGAAGTGAAGCATGAAGCGTGTCTGATATCAGACAAAAATAAAGGGGTTAAACGTACGAGAGAACTCTCTAATTTTACTTGGTTGATGTGCATGAATCGATTTACCCATGGTCATTCTAGTTTTTGCCATCCTAGCTTGCCTTTGTAATTATAGTAGTTTTTCCAATACGTGAAAAATTGAAGGATCGATGTGATGGTTATTGCATCTGGACTGGAAAAAAGTTATCACTTCATTTGTTTGAGAACCCAACATGCTTATTTACTCCTATCAAACAGGATTATCTGAAATTCCTTTTTGAGTTTGCTACAGCGGATTCTATTGATCACCAACGGAGACAAAAAACAAATATATTTGAGCTCCTGATCTGTAAGTCCGGATGGGCCTTAAATACATGATTTCTATGCCCCAAATTCATGATCCTATATGAAATTCAAAATTTTTAAAAACTGAGCTCAATTGATAGGAAGCACCACCATCCTATTCATCATCCTAAGGGCTTAGATAAGGCCCTCACTCATGAGGAACTTTGATTGCAATTTCTACGTTGACAGTGAAAAAACATTTATTCCGCTGCCGGGAGTCGAACCCGGATTAACTAATATCCTTTAGTGAGTTTGCTACAGCGGATTCTATTTTTAGTGTATGAAAAACAGCTATATATTTTGGTGCACCTGATCTGTAAGTGAGGATACGACCTTACCTAAATGCCGTATATAAGATCCTCATTATAGAATTCTTGCTCTCGTCATGATACTATTTGATAAACAAATATTGAACATGCTACTTATTGCCAAATTAAAACATGGGAGTTGTTGTGGTTGTCAAGCATGACACAGCTAAGTGACAGGAAGATGTGTTTATTTATTCACTGGAAAGCACCTTGTGACTCTAATTACTCACAAAATTACTAAAGTATTAGGTAAACGCTTTCGAAAAGTCTATATTTATGGTTTAGCATCCAATACACTTCAATAACTGCTGAGTTAGTATAAACAATTTTTTATATATTATTAATTATGATTGTTTTCTTAATCTTTGTTTTTGAACTTTGTCCATTTGTATTTATCAACTAGCATTGCATCTTTGACTTCTGAAGCTGCTTGGACAAAGATTGCAAAGCATATGCTAATGGTTCCTTCTCTTGTTGTTTTCGAACCTCGAAAAATAAACATAACTTGAAAGACAAGGTTGGTAGCGTCACGTGGCATAACGTGGTCTACAATTACGATCCTTCTACTAATTAGATTTTTTCATTGGTGGAAAAGTGGGGAAGAAAGGTTGGCAGCGTCCCGTGGCATAATATCAGGTTTAGATAGGGCTTCTGAGCCGCACTGGATAGACACCCAATTTTATATTCCTTCTGAACAGATCAAAACCAGCTGGAGATTTACAGCGTAGTGAGTAATTAGTGTCTTTGTTGTATCAGTAACTAGAGTCCTTCAGTTTTGCACCACGTAATAACAAATATTCACACTGTTTTGTATATATACACGTTTGTTATTTGATATTTTCTAGATGCTGATCCAATTACTACATCATCATCATCATAATTATCTCAAATTTTGAGAGAAATTATGGTATGATGTGATGGCATCATAATGCTCATCATCATGCATGATGCATCACCATCACCTGTGAAATCGTCTTCGTATCTTGACCACCTTAAAAACTGAAATCAGAGTCTGCCATTGTTGTTCAAACAAGCTACAATAAGGATGAGAAGCTGAAATGAAGCAGGCACTGAGAGAGCCCCTTCAAGCCCAAGTGCAAGAAGAGCCTTCCAATTCTCAAGATGATCCTCTTCCTTCTCATCTTATCAAATATTTATACGTTGGACACTTTTTGGCCAGATGGGGTACCAGGTTCACTGCTTTTCTCATCTCTCACTACTTAGCTTAGTGGTTTATTAGTGTTGTTTGAGGTTTTTCCCCAACTAGAATTTGGGTTGTTTTCATTGTGTCAAAGGATGCGTACATATACATTGAAATTAATATTTTTTTTCTTCATACTTTGCTGCTGAAAGTTGTTTCAAACTTCAGCAACTACTAGGAAAATCAGTAAATTAAATTACAGAAACCAAGTTGAAGATTTTGAACATGCTAATTAGTGCTATCACAAGAAATGATTTCAAGGAAGAAATAAGAAAATTAAATTACAGAAACCAAGTCAAATTATTACATTCTTCTTCTTATTTTTCTACATCTGTGGACAGAAATTGTGCTCATGGAAGTAACAAGTTCCCTATAGATCAACCTATCATCTGTTTAAGACACTTATAATTTGACTTCTATTTGTGATTGTGCCTCCTCCATGTGATATTTAATTTGATTACTCTGATTGTTATGATCAATCTCGCCTGTAACTTTGTACAAGGAAGACAAGAAAAAGGCTCCTTGTTTTGTTTTGAGTATTAATTTCCATTGAATTTTCCCTGTTTTGCAGAATGTGGGAATTCTCTGTTGGTCTTTACATGATAAGCATTTGGCCAGATTCTCTACTCTTTGCTGCTATCTATGGTGCAGTGGAATCAGCCTCTACCGCACTTTTCGGACCCTTAATTGGACACTGGGTGGATAGATTTCCGTATGTAAAGGTAGGCTAACTTATGAAACTTACAAGAAAAGAGAGACAGAGAGATAAGAGTTGTAAAATTATGTTACATGATCTTACAACTCTATATAATATGGACAGGTTCTCCGGCTTTGGTTGGTAACACAGAACCTCTCTTTTATGATTGCTGGAGGCACCGTAATGGCATTGCTGGTCTACTCAGATTTGAAGCTCACAAGTTTTACTGCATTCGTCTTGCTTGTAATATTAACCAACATCTCAGGAGCTGTTGGAGTTCTTTCCACTCTTGCTGGCACCATCTTAGTCGAAAGAGACTGGTAAATAGATGTCTAATTACTCACAGACTTTCATTACAATGAAATAGCATATGATCCTTTAAAAAAGTACTTTTTTGTTCTGTGAAAGCTAATTTTTTATCCACACTTACCACCCTTGTCCAATTTATATTTTTCTGCTTTCAATGTATATGTTTCAACTGCTCTTTCTGCAGGGTGGTGGTGATATCAGAATGCCATTCTGATCCAGAAGTACTACTGACCAAGATGAATTCAGTCCTTAGGCGTATTGACCTCTTCTGCAAGCTATGTGCTCCTGTGCTAACTGGCTTCATTATCAGCTTTGTATCACTAAAGGCTTCTGCTTTAACTTTAGTCCTCTGGAACACCATATCTATTTGGCTGGAATATTGGCTCTTCATCTCTGTATATAATGGGATTCCGGCTTTAGGCGAAAGCAGCCAAAGGAAGATATCAAGACTTTCAAGGACTGATGTGGAAGAGAGCACATCTACCTCTGATCAGGAAAGAAGTAGTTTGCTTTCTCATGATGAAAATGATTCACAACCGGCTGAAGAGAGCTGGATAAAGAGAATAACAGAAGCGGTCTCAAGGATCCCTTATGTTGCTGCATGGAAAGTGTATTTGCGGCAAGATGTTGTACTCCCTGGAGTAGCTCTGGCTTTATTATATTTCACTGTCCTCAGGTCACAACCTAACTTCTTCTTTTTTCTTGTGACTTTGGCTTTATATTCTAACTGTTCTTACCAAATTAATCTGTTATTTCCAGCTTTGGGACATTGATGACAGCTACCCTGGAATGGCAAGGCATACCTGCATATGCTATCGGGATAGCTCGTGGAATAAGTGCTGCAATTGGAATTGCTGCTACAATTGTTTATCCTATCTTGCAATCTCATATTTTAACACTCAGAACCGGGCTCTGGTCTATCTGGTCTCAGGTAAAAAAAACTTCAGCATATACATTAGAACATCAAATTCCTTTTCAAGTGACATTTTTCAAATGCCAATCCCTTTTCATGGGAACTTTGGGACCCTCACATTAGTTTCTGGTGTTTGTGGTTTGAATGTGCAGTGGACCTTCCTCCTCCTATGTGTTGCTTCAATTTGGGTCCATAATAGCCTTTTATCAGCATATTTGTTGATGGCAGGAGTGGCTACTTCTCGGCTTGGATTGTGGATGTTTGATTTAGCCGTAATCCAACAAATGCAGGTAAGCAGAACAAGATATCTTGTTATAAATCTTCTTTTGGGATTTCTTTGATTTGTGATGAATGTATTTTCAGCATTTGGTTGATGTCTTACAATATATGTAACATATCTTCATTTTGAACAGGACCAAGTTCCTGAATTCGATCGTTGTATAGTGGGAGGTGTTCAAAACTCCCTTCAGTCTGGCATGGATTTGATGGGTTATGTCATGGGAATAATCATATCTAATCCACAGGTAATTATATACAATTAATGACTTCCCGTAATTCAGTGGAGAAAAACTAGTTTATCACGGGTTCATGTAATTTCTGTTCTCTCTTGTCATGTATCATGTCACATGAAAAAGAAATGCGATACATGAATTTGTTTCATGTAAGTTTTTGTCATCTGAATATAATTTTTGTCAATTTCTTCTAATTTTTGTTTTGCACCTAAAGACCGAAATAGTCCAGTTCATATGTTTGTCAGTGTCTCCCCATGTTCAAGTTTAACCTTATAAATCCATAGTTTGAAAATCCAAGATTCCTAAATATTTGACAAGGCACATTCTGATTA